CAGGACGAGCTGTGACGGCCGCACGGCGCCCTTGTTGCCATGGCGCCCTGTGCGGCCGCACGGCTCGCACACCCCTAAGGCCGGCCCTGGGTCAGTTCACACCATATCCAGTGCTTTCCAGCACGATTTGTGGCCGGATTGAATAAAGCATGCCTCTCGCATTCTGGGATGGGAGGGGGTGTGGTGGTGCCATTCATGTCAATGGCATGCACTATTTTTTGCGATCGCAGAGGAAAGCGGGCATTTGTGTAGCACGTGTTCTGGTGCAGGGAATCGCACTGTGGGCAGAAGGCGTGTCTGAGGTGCCATTGACATAAATGGCACCACCATGCCCCAGAAAGCGGGAGGTATGGATTATGCGATCCAGTGCGTTCCAGGCAGTAACCATGCCGGAACGCACTGGTGTGGTGTGAACCGGCCCTCAAAGCCTATCTCCAGGAAAAGAAAAATCTTCCCTTGCAGAGGGTCTGCCCCCGCACTGTAAGGGTTAACTGCTTCTTAATGTCTAGGGGCATTGTGTAAGGGAGTTTTACCTACCTGATCCCCGCTCCCGCAGGCTCCGAAACTTCTTCTCTCGTCTGCTCCAGTGGTTGGAGCCCATAGTCCTGCATTAAATGTGAAGACATCAAGGGACAGCCCACAAGCTGGAGCGTAAGGAAGAGAGTTGAGCACCGACTGCCAGGAAGGGGGGAGGGTGGAATCAGGTAAGTAAAAGTCCTTTACACAGCTCCCATTGACATCAACGAGCAGTTAACCCTTACAGTGTGAGGGCAGCCTCACTGCAAGGGGAGTTTTTTCCCTGAAGACAGGCTTTAAATAAATTTTTACAAACCCAAATAGAGGCTAAAGCTAAAGTTTAGTTAAAGTAGTAGTAAACTATCAAACTTTTTTTCAATAATGAATCCAGATCAAATATATACGGTGTCCAGCAAAGTGTTCCCAAACAGCTGGCTCCAATTCACTGATCTTGCAGTGTTGCGAGGGTTAAGATCAGCAGCTGTGACTATGAACCATCGGCACCACATAGTATTCTTGCCCTGAATGCAATGCATTCTGTGAATGGAGGACAGGTAGATGAATGACAGGATCCACCTCATCCAATCACAGAGTGATTTGCATTCTGGAGAGGGATACTACATATTGTGTGAATGGATGAGAGAGGTGGAATGGACGATGGGAAGGAGACTAGCACTGGTGGTTCACAGTCGCAGCCACTGATCTTAACCCCAACAGTGCCAGAACATCCCCACTGTGGGGAGTATCTGGCATCACTGAAGGAAAGCTTTTCACACTAAGCAACAGCCAGCAGGACATGGGACACAATATAGGTAAGTTATGTCCCTGGTGCTGCATTCCCCCCAAAAATTAAACTATACAGCTTTAACATTAAGTGTTGCTTAATGCAGCCAAACACTGATTCACAATGTGTGGTGAAGCAGGTGGCTGGAATATCTGTTGCATAATATGATTCCTGTTTCTCGGTTTAATAAAAAATGACTTGTCTACATCTGCAAGAAAAGCATGAATTATTTTTTTGGCTTTGCCTCTGATCCAAGATTCCTGGTTAGTAGCAATTTTGGCTTTGTGACAA